AACTTGGAGGCAAAGTTCTTCCTTAAGGAACATTTTATTCAGGAAACAAAGTATCAGTACTACATAGTTAACCCCAAAACTAAATTCCCTTCACCCTGATACAAAGTAACAAAGTACAATTCTCACCCCCAATAAACTGTCATAAATCACATTCCCCAATTAGCTTAAAGTCCAGGCTTTCTCCTCAGCTCCTCAGCTCGCCAAAACATTGTCAGCTTGTCCTTGTGTTCCCACAGCAGCTTTATTATTATGGCTAGCTTTGCTTACATCCCAATCCACCACCCCTGCTGCACCTGATTTCTAATGGTAAGAAAAAGCCTATTAAAGGAATAGGGAAAATGGCTGCATTTTCATCAGTTGTCAGAGCGGGAACATCCATTGTTAGCAGCCTTGTCATCCGCCCCCCCCTTAAAAAAGACAAATCCTTCAATTCAAACAAAATCATAGGTTAGGGGTCGCCCCTTGGTTTGTTAGTGTGTTTTTCATAGAATTTATTAATGAGCCTGTCGGCTTTTACATCACTAGATTTTACCCATGTGGCTTTAATCAAAGGGTATCCTTTCCTCTGCACTAAGTACTGTAACTTTCCCTTAAAAAGTCTAGAATCAACAATAGGCTTCACTTCACAATGAGTCTGTCCAGCTGGCTACCAGGAGAGGCCCAGGTGCCTTCTTAGGGGGAGGCCGTAAGATGGAACCCCGACACAGACTCATTAATAAATTCAATCCGCTTCCCTCTCTTCATCTTTCTGAAAAGGAAGAAAGTCCTTAGGTCTGAGACTCTTCCTCAAATTTCATTTCTCCCTTGGACACAGTTTTTTTTTCAGAGATTGTCATCTGTGTTGAGGCTCTTCCTCCTGTTTCCTCTTGTAGCCCACTATGTCGCCATGGAAGGGCTCCAGCAAATAGGTAAACTGAGGCAAAACTGGAACAGATGCTCATAAGAGAAGATAAAAGCAAAGGAAAAGAGGGGGGGTTCGCTGGGTCAGTGGTCCAAGGAAGGGAAAGGAAGGAGTGGATCTGCTGCCAGGAGGACCTGGTTGGAGACGAACAAGAAAGAGGCAAAGAGCAGAGCTGATGCTTCCCTGGGTCTTCTCCCCCAAGACTCCAAATGGAGCTGGGCAGAATCGACAGAGAGAAACAGAGATGGAGATGGAGATGGAGACAGAGAGAGCATGGGTGAGTTGAAGTCTCCAAGGCAGGATGTCAGGAGTCTCAAAGGAGCTCCTGGGGCCATCTCAGATCCATCATATTTTAGTGCTTAGCAGGAGCATCAAGGGTTTTGGATGACCCCTAATCAACCTGATATTTTTTGACACACTGTTTTAGTTGATTATTGGAATGCAGTGGACATAATGAACATTGACTTCAGCAAAACATTTGACAAATATCAATGAAATCCTGGTGAAGAAAAAGGCTACCTGTGGCTGTCCTACACTACCATTAAATGGATAGAGCCTGTGGAGAGCTCAAACCCAACAAGGGCTTTTTAAAGGATGCAGATCTGATTTTAAAGGAAGTGAGGAATTGCAGGGCTCCATTTTAGGCCTTGTGCTGTTTGACATATTTATAATTAAGTTAGTTTAGGAGTTAGAAAACATTGTAATTGGTTTTGGACAAGATACGAAATGCGAGTTGTAAAATACTACAGAGGGCAGAATGAAGATTTCAAAAGATCTTTAAAAGCTGGAATAATGGGCAAAAATCAGGATGATTAATTTCAACAGGGATAAATGCAAAGTCCAACGTATGTGTAGAAACAGGGAATCAAAGGCATTAATGCAGGATTTCAGTTAGTATAGAACAGGGGTCCCTAACCCCGCCTCCCCCGTCTGTGTACAGGTACCGGGCTGTGGCATGCCAGGAACCGGTCAGCACAAAAAAGTAAAGCCGCATCCATGAGATGCAGGCAGCACACAGAACCACGCCCCCTCCTGTCCACAGAAAAAACTCTCTCCACAGAACCAGTCCCTGGTGCCCAAAAGATTGGGGACCTCTAGTATAGAAAAGCCATACAGGATCCTGCCGAAGGAGGTTACTATGGACCCTCTGGGCAGGCAGAAGATACAGGCCAGGTCTTTCTGCATCAGATGAGCAGAGAGGCTACCAGAGAGGCTTGCAAGAGTGATTGGGGGGGGGGGGGGGCAATTATCCGGGCATCCGGATAATTGCAAGAGGAAATGCTATCCTGGACCTAACGGAGAATCCCAGGCCGAGTTCAGCACCTCGGAGCTCCCTCTGGACCTTCTCAGGGCGGTCTCTGCTGCCCTCCCCAGGCTGCCCTCCTTTCCCCAAAGCTTCACAGAGCTGCTGTGGGGCGCGGGGCAGGGCTGGTCCTCGCGAGCCTCCTCATTCCTGTGGGTGCCGTCTGAATTCGGAAGGGGCCAGGCGGTGACCCCGGGTTCCGGCAGCCGGAAGAGAGGCGGGAGAAGCGGAGCAGTAACGCCGGAACGCAGCTGGCGGCTGCTATGCCCATAAAACGAGGCTTCTGTTGAATCCAGGCCTCCAGGCCGCCGCTGCTCTTCTGCCCGACGGGAATCCCACGAAGGTACTGCGGGGTATGTGTGTTAAGACGCCTGGTCAACTTCCACCCCGGGTGCCCCAGTCCCCCCTGCGCCCCTCCCGGCCGCCAATTCGCCCTGCCCTCTTCGCCGCATCGGCAGGAATAAGCACCTCGGGCGCCGGGAAAGAGTCTAATTGTCCCGCAGGCCGGCAGATCGAGAGGCCGGCGGTCGTCTCGGGCAAGGCGGCTTTGGCGTTAGCACCACAAGGCGCGCAAGCCAGCGGCAGAAAGCCTACCGGAGGGCTTTGCACGATCTGCTGGACGTAGAGCCCCCAGACGGAGGGGGTTCCCTCGACTCCCCCGTGGGAGAGCCCGGTTGCCCAGGGATCCTTGGCCAGGCACGCGTGAGCCGTCTTGTCCTCTGCCGAGCCCTCCCCGCACCCTTGCTCGGGCCACGCCGCCCGCACGATCGCCTCTCCTGCTTGCATCCAGCAGAGCCAGCATGGAAACGGAACTCACGGAACCGTCGCCCTCGCTGCCTCCGGCATTGTCATCTCAGTCCTGGGAGGTGACGGCGGCGGCGGAGGAGGAGGAAGAGGAGGAGGAGGCGGAGGAGGAGGCGGAAGAGGAGGAGGAGGAGGAGCAGGAGCAGGAGGAGGTGAGTAAGAATGCCCGTGTTGGGTCAGAGGCGATTTGTAATAAAAGTAATGTAAGTCCTAAATACATCAGAATTTCCTTATATTTCATCATTGTTTCTGATGTGCTGAAGAAAAGTGCAGCTGGGGTATGTGCAGAACTGCCTCTCCCCAATGGGACTAGCTGGCCCCTCTCCTTCCAGTGGAAGCAGCCTAATTTGGATCCCATTGGCCAAAGAATTTTTGCCGCTGGGCTCCAGGAGAAGAGCCTTTTCTGCTGTTCCCCCCCCCCCCAGGAATATTCTACCATCGGAGGTGAGATTTCCCCCCCCCCTCCAGACACACAAGAACACAATCCTGGGCTTCTGGCAGAGCCTGAAAACCTGGCTCAGTTGCTCAGCCTGGGGTCCTGACAGGGTAGGGTAGCCTAGGGGTGTCTCATGGGGTAGACAAGATTCTTAGTCCCAGAATGTCCATCACCTGGGTAAGCCAACCAGAGTTGCTGTATTAGTGAGATGGGTGGCATAAAAACATATCAAAATAAAATAAGCTCTAAATTCTGGGGCTGTATTTTGACATGCTAAGGTGCAGCTTTTTGCCTCTGGACCTTTAAGCAAAATGCCTCCTTACTTTTTCTTGTTCCTCTAACTGCCCCACTTGCAAAATTCCTGATTGCAAATCCAGTTATTATAACTGAACCGTTTGTGGCCAACCTCTTTGGCTTCTTCAGGTAAGTGTGGAAATAGTTTCTAGCTAAGTGCTGAGCCTGTCTCGGGGCTCCACCTTAGGACCTCCCCCTAAGAAGGCACCTGGGCCTCTCCTGGTAGCCAGCTGGACAGACTCATTATGAATGGAAGCCTATTCTTGATTCTACACTTTTTAAGGGAAAGTTACAGTACTTAGTGCAGAGGAAAGGATACCCTTTGACTGAAGCCACGTGGGTAAAATCTAGTGATGTAAAAGCCGACAGGCTCATTAATAAATTCTATGAGAAACACCCTAACAAACCAAGGGGCGACCCTTAACCTATGATTTTGTTTGAATTGCAGAATTTGTCAGGAAGTTTCTCCTTAGTTCTAGGTTGCTTCTCTCCTTGATTAGTTTCCATGCGTTGCTTCTTGTCCTGCCTTCAGGTGCCTTGGAAAATAGCTTGACACCCTCTTCTTTGTGGCAGCCCCTGAGATATTGGAACCCAGCTATCATGTCCCCCCTTCATCCTTCTCTTTGTTAAACTAGACATACCCAATTCCAGCAACCGTTCCTTATATGTTTTAGCCTCCAGTCCCCTAATCATCTTTGTTGCTCTTCTCTGTACTCTTTCTAGGGTCTCAGCATCTTTTTTACATCATGATGACCAATATGTATGCAGTATTCCAAGTGTGATCTTACCAAGGCATTGTAAAGTGGTCTTAATACTTCACGTGATCTTGATTCTATCCCTCTGTTAATGCAGCCTAGCACTGTGTTGGCCTTTTTGGGCAGCTGCAGCACAGGGCTGGCTCATATTTAGATGATTGTCCACTAGGACTCCGAGGTCCTCTCACAGTTACTACTATTGAGCAAGGTACTTGAGGAGCAGCAGGAGGAGGAGGTGAGTAAGAATGCCCGTGTTGGGTCAGAGGCGGTGGGGTTCCCGAGAAGTTCTCCCCCACCCCTCTTGCTGCCCAAGTGCTGCTCAGCGCTCGCAGCAGGACCAACGATTTCGCAGAGGCGTCCGCCCCACGGACGGGGATCCTGCCCCTCCCAGCCGCTGGGGGTGGTGGAGGGAGGCGGCAGCTGAAAGGGGGGGAGAGCGGGTGCGAGAGGGGCTTTATAAGGGGCGTCCCGCCTGGGGCTGGCACGTCTAGATTCCTGGAGACCACCATGGCGATTGGCCTGGCAGCTCTGGGGCTCCTCGCTTTCCTGCTCGGTTGCTCCGGAACCTTTACCGAACCCCAAAACTCGGAGTCAGCCGACCAGGTCAGATGCGGGGTGGGAGGCGGAGGGTCCCAGCCTCCCGTGTGGAAAGCCCACACACACACACACACCAGCCTCTGCTCGGGTGGGCGGCAGGAGCAGCTGGCGGGAGCCGGCGCGCTGCGCAGAGGGTGCCGCTTCCTCGGGGTTGATCGCACCCGATTCCGTCGCGCTAAGAGGCCCTCGGTCTCCGACGGACAGTCGGCCGAGCGTGTCCTCCTCCGTGCTCGGCCGCGGCTTCGGCAGCCTGCCGGCGGGGCTGGTTCTCTCGCTCGCTGCGCAGATGGCAGAGCGATCCACCCGCGGGGTGTCGTCCCCGACGCGGTCTGGCAGGCGCCTCGACCGACGGACTTTAGGATGGCCGCCATTCTCAGCCCGACGCGGCGTGGGCAGCCCGGGGATGGGGCACGTGTGAGCAGCGGGTGTTTTCAGATCCCCCGGAGAGAATGGGGAGTCTCTACCTGTTGGACAGCTGGGCTTGGCTATCACCCTGACACGCTTTTCCCCCCTCTCCCGCTTTTTTTTAGTGCTCCCTGACCGGCACCTGGAAGGATGACCGTGGCCTCAGAATGGAGATCTTCAGCGTCACTGACACGGGGCTGTTCAGCGGCCTCTTCTACATAATACCATATAATAGACCCAGATGCACCATTCCACCCCCGCTGCAGGGCATCCAGCACGAGGGGCGCCAGCCCATCTTTGCCTTCACCTTCAGAGGGAACTTCCATGGTAGAGCCACTCAGTCTTTCTTGTGGAAGCAAATAGAACGGGAAGAAGGAATTAAGTGGATCTCCCCTTCCTGAGATCTGCCTCTTGCAGATTCTTTCACTGAATGTCCTCCCTCCTTCCCCCCCAACCATCAGATGGAGATGCCCAAATATTTTGGAGCCTATAAAACATTCACAATCTAAAGGTAGCATAGGTGAAAGGGGGGGGGTCTTCATGCAAACTATATCCCCCCCCAATTGGTACAACAACTTTGATCTGACAGGACCCATCGCCCTCTATGTGGGCCAATGTCTGGTGGACGAGAACGGAAAGGAACAGCTGAGGACAACCTGGGTGCGGCGTAGCTCGTTGGAAATCCCAGAAAAGTATTGGGAGGCGACCCGGTAAGGAAACGAAGGGGCTGAACTGCTGCGCCCCCTAACTGGAAGGGCCCTGGGCACCTCTTCTTTCTCTCTCTCTTCCACTCCCCAAAGTGGGTCTTGAAAGGGCGCCCCAATGGTTTGCCTCTCTCTGGGCAGCTCCTGCGGGAGAGGCTGGCATTTTGAGTCTAGAAGACTCTGTTTCTGCCACTTCCCCCACAAAGGAAGGCAGCAAAGCTTTTGAGCAGCTTCCCCAGGTCCTTCTCACTGACAAGTGTGGTTTGGGTGGCACCACAGTCTGGGTTGCCCACAGCTGGCAACACTTGGAGAGTTGGCATTAATTGCTCTACTCAAATCGGAGAGCAGTAGCCCAGTACAGCCCCATATTTGTAGGGGGCAAAGAGGCCACCTGGGTGCCTTCCCTGAGCGAGCGTAAGGCCTGCAGCTCTGCTGCTCCCCTCCAAAGAGGCCATTTTTGCAGCCACCTGGACGGAGCTGCTTGACGGGAAGCCCCCAAAGACCTTGGAGAATTCGCCCAGCCTGCTTTGGGTCTTGTCATTCCCCGGCCCTGGCCGCCCCTGAGAACCAGAAGCCTCCATTTCCTTTGCCCTCCCTTTTCATTCTCACCTGCGGGGATGGGAGGAGGGAATGGGGTGGGGGGATGGGATGCTCAGCCTGGGGGGGGAGACATCAATCATGCCACCATGAATGTTGACATTTCCCTCCCTCCTGTTTCACTGTAGGGTTGAAAGGAGCACCTTCAACCACCCAGAGTGGTGGTGAAGAGAGCAAGGCTTCCCTGGTTTCTGCCTTGGGGGGGAAATGAGGGGGTGACCCTTCCAACCTCTCCCATCAGATGCTCTTCTCCAATAAAATGCTTGCCTGAGCAGCCTCGGTCTCCTTGGTCTTTCATATTATTTTTTTTACAATTTTTTTATTAATTTTTTTCAAATAAACATAAACAATACAAATATGGTGCATTCCATTAGAAAAACAAACACATAAAAAGCCTACTCAGTAGGTATTCAGAAATAATCCGCAGTCCCCCCCCCTGCATCCACACTCCCTCAACCTTCCTACCTACTTCCCTCTCCCTTCCTCCCCCTCTTAACAACCACCTCTCCTCTTTCCTCCTTTCCAACTATCCTACACACCCCATCACCTTCTTTTCTACCACCTCGGATGCAGTTTAGGGGTACTAGCTGATCATCTCCTCTTCTTTTTTTTAATTTATTTTTTATTTTTCCAAACTCTCCCCCATACATATACCGTGATATTTATCAGATATTAACATACATTCTTTTTAATGAAATAAATACATACACATGACTTTTGGTGTTGCTCGCCCATTTCCCCTTTCACTGCATCCCCACTCCTTCTTCTCTACCTTCTTTCTCCCTTCCTTCTCTTTCTTCCCTACTTCCCTCTTCTTCCTCTCCTCTCCTCTTTCACCACTCTCTCCTCCAACCTTCCTACTTCCTTCTCCCCTCCTTTACTCTTTTCTCTCTCCTCTCCTTTCTTCCTTCTCATCCCTCTTCAGATACAATTCTGGGGTAATGTCTGAGCAACTCCTCTCTCCATGTTTCCCAATCTGTATTATATACAATACAATTAATTTTCTCTTACATTAATACTTCTATTTATCTAACCTTCTCAGTATATACGTCTATAAATATGTATACAACCTCCAATTATTCAATACTATGTCGCCTGGGTCTCCCTCCTTATCTGCTCCTTCTTCTTCCATCTAAATTGATGTTAACTATCTTTTAACCGTATTCTCTTTTCAGCCAATCATAAAAAGTTTCCCAAATTTCATAGTAGTCTGACTCTGTCTTATCTTTAATCGTCATTGTTAGTCTATTCATTTCTGCACATTCCAGTATTTTCCCAATCACCTCTCCCTCTGGGGGGGCTTTCAGTCCTTTCCAATTTTGTGCAAACACAATCCTGGCTGCCGTAATTATATGAATAATTAAATATATTTTCTCTTTATTGTATTTCTCCCTGGTCTTTCAGAAGCTCCCTGGGTGCCAGTCTGCAGGTTTCCAGGAAAAGCTGGGTAGGACCCCCATCTGGAGTATGGGCTCTGGGGTAAAGAGTTAGCTTTGTCTCTACTACTGCTCTACTACTGTTCTGCACTTTACTCAGCCTTTGCCCTTGAAAACTTTGGGAACCTGCAGCCAATCCACTCAGGATCTGGCCTATTAATTTATTAGGAAATTATGAAAGGGTTTTTGCAAATGAGCCGTGAATTAGCTTCACCCAGACCTCGTCCATCCTAATCACTTGGCCCAAGCTTTGCTTGACAGAGTCATCCTTAGAACCAGCACTTAGCTAGAACCTATTTCAACACTTACCTGAAGAAGCCAAAGAGGTTGACCACAAACTGTTCACTTATAACAACTGGATTTGCAATCAAGAATTTTGCAAGTGGAGCAGTTAGAGGAACAAGAAAAAGTAACCTGGCATTTTGGCTTAAAGGTCCAGAGACAAAAAGCTCCACCTTAACATGCCAAAAAATACCCCCAGAATTGAGAGCTCATTTAATTTTAATAACTTTTTATGTCACCCGTTTCACTAATACAGAAACTGTGGATGACGTACAATGAAATAAAAGTCAAAATTCTAAAAATAATCGAAACTAGAATAAAGAGATTAAACGTTAAGAACCAAGATGATGGACAACTTGGGGGTAAGATTTTCTCTACCCAATGAGACACCTTCAAGATACCCTACCCTGTCAGCCCCTCAGGCTGAGTGGTTGAACCACATTTTCAGGCTCTTCCAGAAGGCCAGGATTGTGTTTGTGTGTGTTTGGGGGGGGGTGGAATCTCACCTCTGATGGTAGAATATTCTTGGGGGGGAACAGCAGAAAAGGCTCTTCTCCTGGAGCCCAGCAGCAGAAATTCTTTGGCCAGTGGGATCCAAATTAGGCTGCTTCCACTGGAAGGAGAGGGGCCAATTAGTCCCATTGGGGTGCTGCAGTTCCTCAGATTTGTATGGGGCAAAGAGGCCACCCGGGTGCCTTCCCTGAGCGCAAGGCCTGCAGCTCTGCTGCTCACCTCCAAAGAGGCCACCTTCTCGGACACCTGGACGAAGCTGCTTCAAGGGAGGCCCCCAAAGACCCAAAGACCCAGGAGAATACGCCCAACCTGCTCTGGGTCAGTGTCCTTCCCCTCATCAGATGTGGCCTTCAATGCATGGCTGGTTACTTACCTGGCCCTGACCGCCCCTGAGAACCAGCAGCATCCATTTCCTTTGCCCCACCTTTCATTGTCACATGGAATGGGATGGAGGGTGGGATGCTCTGGCCTGGGGAGGGGGGTAACACACCAATCACGCCACCATGAATTTTGGCATTTCCCTCCCTCCTGCTTCATTGTGGAGTTCGCATGGACACCTTCTAATGCAAGACTTCCGTGGTTTCTTCCTGGGGGGGGCATGGAGGGCGACCCTTCCTATCTCCCCCATCAGAAGCTCTTCTGCAATAAAATGTTTGCCTGAGCAGCCTCAGCTTCCCTGGTCTTTCAAGAGAGGCTGGGTAGGATCCCCACCTGGAGGGGGGCTCAAAGCTAACTCTGGGGTACAGAGTCTCTACTTGTCTCTACTACTGCTCTGCACTTTACACAGCCTTTGGCCTTGGAGACTTTGGGAACCTGCAGCTAATTCACTGAGGATCTGACTAATTATTTTATTAGGAAGTCCTCATTTGCAAATGAGCCATGAATTAGCTTCACCCAGAGCTGGCCCATCCTAATCACTTGGCCCAAGCTTTGCTGGATAGAGTCATTGTTAGAACCAGCAGTTAGCTAGAACCTATTTAGACACTTACCTGAAGAGGTCAAAGAGGTTCGCCACCAACGGTTCACTAATAACACCTGGATTTGCAATCAGGAATTTTGCAAGTGGAGCNAGCTCCACCTTAGCATGTCAAAAAACAACCCCAGAATTGAGAGCTCATTTAATTTTAATAATTTTTTATGTCACCCATCTCACTAATACAGCAACTCTGGTTGGCTTACATTGTAATAAAAGTTTAAAAGTGCTAAAAAGAAATGAAACCAGAATAAAGAGATTAAAAGTTAAGAACCCAGGTGATGGACAGCCTGGGGCTAAGAATCTTGTCTACCCCATGAGACACCCCCAGGTACCCTACCCTGTCAGGACCCCAGGCTGAGCAACTGAGCCAGGTTTTCAGGCTCTGCCAGAAGGCCAGGATTCTGTTTGTGTGTTTGTGTGTGTGGGTGGGTGTGTGGAATCTCACCTCTGGTGGTAGAATAATATTGGGGGAGGGGGCACAGCAGAAAAGGCTGTTCTCCTGGAGCCCAGCAGCAGAAATTCTTTGGCCAATGGGATTCAAATTAGGCTGCTTCCACTGGAAGGAGAGGGGCCAACTGGTCCGATTGGGATGAGGCAGTTCCTCAGATACCCCAGAACTTCACTAAGTGCTCCCCTCCAATGTTTGTTGTGGGATGTTACCCATCTGCATGTGTCTTCAGCAGATCAGGATGAAATACCAGGAAATTCTTACATTACTTTTATTACAAAGTAACAGGACCTTGCAAGGATGAATCCACCTCCCTCTCTTCATCTTTCTGAAAGGGAAAAAAGTCCTTAGGTCTGAGACCCTTCCTCAAATTTCATTTCTCCCTTGGACACAGTTTTTTTTTTCAGAGATTGTCATCTCTCTTGAGGCTCTTCCTCCTGTTTCTTCTTATAGCCCATTCTGTCACCAAGGAAATGCACCAGAAAATGGGTAATCTGAGGCACAACTAGAACACAAGAGAAGATAAAAGCAAAGGGGGGGGGGTTGGCTGGGTCAGTGGTCCAAGGAAGGGAAAGGAAAGACTGGATCTGGTGCCAGGAGGACCTGGTTGGAGATGAACAAGGAAGAGGAAAAGAGCAGAGCTGCTGCTTCTCTGGTCTTCTCTCCCAAGACTCCAGATGGAGCTGGGAAGAATCACCAGCAGGAACCAGGAGACAAGAGGGTGGGAGGGAGGCAGAGAGAGAGAGAGACAGAGACAG